AGTTTTCGTCGATGCAGAGCTGTTCTGCTGCGTGTGATTTTGAGATGTCGTCGATGCCGGGATGTCGCCGAGCTACTGATGCTGTCTGCCATGTTGTTTATCTCAAAACAGGAAACAATTGATGATCTGCTTTGCTCAGAATTTAGTTATTATTTCTTATTTCTGTGGCTGAACAGTGGAAAAAACGAAATTATCTAACAGACGAATGTGATTTAAGTTCAGGAACATTGTAGACTGTACACTAGTTAGCACGGAAAAGAAGCTCCAAATTCAGTAAGACGAAAAGAATATGAAAAACAACTCCTCGGAGCTATCCCCCGTTGTAGCTTATTTCCGCTGCAATCCATAAGCCTGTTTCTAGTGATCACTAAGCTCAGAAGAAGTAATCGTTGCTGTCTTCAGAGGTTGGATGAGGTGGAGGTTAAGTTTCCTTAAATGTCCGCTAGTTATGCATTCTTCAGAAGCGAGCGGTATCTGTCTTGTGCAGACACATTAAAAATGTCAATGCAGTTAATGCCAATCTTACTACCAAGTCGATAACCATTAACAATTTGAAATCGAGACAGGCACTTACTCTGTGTGTCAGTTGTTCCATTTATGGCAATGCACTGGTGTGTCGGATGTTATTTTTTGAAAAATGATAATCAGGAAACCAAATAATTAAGGACCTACAAAGCATGGATATGGCAGAAACTGCCATATTGGTTTCCTAGTATGGGGGGCACGGGGACATGCATGGATACGCCGGGATACACGTATCCTGCAGTATCCCATCTTCTCTCAATAAAAAAAAGAGAAACAAATTGGGATATGTCGCAGTATGGTGGGCACTCGGGAGCCAGCCTCCAGCGACCACACCACTGCCTAGCTCTCGGCTACCATGCTCGAGCAGGCAACCACAATGGTTGCTAGCAAGGAAGAAGATCCAGGCAGAAAGGTAGAAGGCAAGACGGCCGCCGACGAGGAAAAAGCTCCGGGCAGGGAGGACGGTGGAGACTGCAGCCGCTGGCAAGGAAGAAGATTTGGGTGGATTGGAAGGTTAGCCGCCGATGAGCAAGAAGGTACAGGTGGCGGAGCGGTCGTCTCATCTCCTCTCTACAATTCTTAGGTGGCTGGAGGAAAGAGGGGCACGGGATGGGGAACGGCTGGAGGTGCTGACTTGTGTAGGTAGGGTTTTCTGGAATTGGGCCTTATGTGGGCTCTGAGTGGAGGGTCCTGTACTAACTAAACTTGCATCTAAAAATGAGGCAACATATGTCCCGCAGCAACTAAACAATCTTTCATCTAAAATTTATTACCATATCTTTACTATATGCTGTTTATTTTTCTTAATACTTGTATATCCTGCTGTATCCCCGAATGGTTGTTTTTTAAAATTGCCGTACCTCGTGTCCCTGTACTTGTATAACTGTGTCTGTATCCCCGTATAGGTGCTTCTTAGTTAAGGACAAATACGTAGTGGAATATGTTAAGTTTCACCAAACAAACCATACCAAGTTTCAATGCAAAATGGTCCCACTTCTTCTGAAAGAAAACTTGGAAAAAATCAATATGGAGCTGTCAGAGGCTTATCTCGCAGATATGACTTCCATAAATTCTTTCCTGAGCTCGACCTAAAATGGAGGGGTTTCAAGACCTGGTACCCTTAAAGGACTCCCAGGAATGAGAGAGCAAGTACAAGGACAATATTATTTTCTAAGGGTAGGCGGTATTCCATAATTAACATAGATCGGTTAGAGTGGATTTGAAAAGCCGCAGCAGATCGATAAAATCGCTAATTTAGCCAAGTCAACTCCAATATGGAATCTAGTTCTCCATAAGAGGGTTTTCCCAATGAGACAAGTAGTTTATCGAAGGGGAAACCAACCACTTACGTGGTTCTAAAAATCATTTCCTGCGCTTGAGTTTGTATTCTCTTGTCTAACATTCCGGTTTGTTTAACAAGAAAAAGACATTTGAAATATATAAAAATACCTATGTACTCCATCTGCAAAAGTGAATGTACTTCAGGAGATTCTACCATTGCGTGGACCAAATCAAAAATCAGAAAGTAAAAATAATGCTAATTCTTTTGGAAGGAAAACATAGGAGAACTAAGGTATGGAAGAGTCTTGAATAAATGAGAAGTGTATGTGTCTTGTGCATACTTTGCATTAAATATTAAACTGAAAACAAAACTCGATTCTTTAAGAGGAGAAAATGTTGGATAATTAAAGTACCGGATTCTAGAACAAAGGAGAAGTGTCTTTTCTGAGGTTTGTGCATATTATGTATTGTGCTTAAGACAAAGCGTGGAATATTCTAGATAGTACGTACACGTGGCAACACCTGATATAGTGAAGAGAATATCCAACGGCCAACACTTCTCGGATTTGCCAGGCTTGTGCCGAAATGTTAAAATATCAATTAGCGGCATTCTTAGTGCCAAGTTGACAACCATTCACAGTTTGAAATTGAGACAGGCGACTGAGGGACTGTGTGTAAGTTGTTTCATTTATGGCAACACACTTGTGTGTCGGATGTTCTTTTTTAAGTAATAACATCAGAAAACGAAATCATTGGACAAATACGTAGTGGAATACGTCATGTTTCACTAAACAAACCAAACAGTAAACCAGCCACTTATGTGGTTTTAAAAATCAGTTCTGGCGCTTGAGCTCTTATTCTCTTGTCTAACATTCTGGTTATTCTTTACAGGGCTATAAATGGCAGGGAGACAGCGCATAGGTCGCGAGTACTATGAGGAACCACGAGTGTTTCGTGATGGCCCTCCTCCTCGTCTTGCACGAGAAAGGTCTGTCTCACCACGGCGCTTCGAGGGAGAGCTGTCTAGCCGCCGTGGTGAGCTCCGCAGAATCCGTGACGACAACCAACATCTGGTGGATGAAATTGTTGGACTCAGGCAAGCAATGTCTCGTTTGAAAGAAGATCTCCATTCCTCAAGTCAGGTTATACCTAAGCTCCGTGCTGAGAAAGAACTTGAATCGAGGGAGCTGACTCAGAGGAATCTGAAGCTGGAAGCTGAGCTACGCTCTTTAGAACCCCTTAGGCAGGATGCCCTTCAGCTACGATCTGAAGCAGGCTCGCTAGAGTCTTTGAGGCAAGAGCTCAACGCAAAGGTGCAGGGTCTGACAAAGGAGCTTGAGCAACAGAGCTCTGAAAACCAGCGCATACCTGCCATGATAGCTGAACGTGATGATCTGCGGCAGGAACTAATTCGTGCTAGGTATTGAACCATCCTGGTTTATGTTTCTGCTACAGTAGACACAGCATGTTGAGTCTAAGTTGGTGGCCCCACGAGGAATTTATTTTAGTATTTCGATGAATTCCCCCCCTTTTATTTTATTTTAGTGGAGTAGCAGCTAACTATTAAGATCACTGCAGGGCGGCTCTTGATTATGAGAAGAATGCAAAGCCAGAGCTGATGGCACAGGTGCAGGCAGTGGAGAAGGATCTTGTGAGTATGGCTCAGGAGTCTGAGAAGCTTAGGGCTGAAATTGAGAAGAGAAGGGCACAACCACCTAGTAGGTTTCATTCCCTCACTTGCATCCAAGTCACTGAAAATCAGTTGTGGCTAACCGGTATGTTTAATACACACTTTTAGGGGTCAGCGGCTATGGAGCTTACGGACCACCTCCTGGGATGGGCCTGCAAGGCATGTACGACAGCGGCTATAATACCTACACAGACAGGCGCCACGGTACGGGGGCTGGACCATGGGACCCCCCTAGCTACCCACGCCCTTGATTTGGGCTTTTTGTTCTTGTCAGTCGGCGTTCATTGTCGGGACAAATTACCTGATATCTCTGGTACTGAAGCTTGTGGGTGCTGGTACCTTGTTCAGAAGATTGTAACCCTGGATGCGCATTGGCCACTTTAGGAAGCAATTCATCATGGCTGGCGTATTAGGAAAATATAATGTAAACTCTAAGATTGTACTTAACAGGCTGTGCACCCTTTTGATACTGTTTGACTCTGTTGCTAATCGTTTTGATTGGTGAACATTATTGCCTGCCAAAAGCGAGGGCTGCTGCAAGCCTGCATTGCTGCTTTCTTAATGCTGAAGGTGGTGAATAAGGATAACAGCAACCTAGTGTCTTGCATTCACCGGTCTTGCGCTGTTTTTGTTTCTTATACAAATTCGAATGGAGAATTTTTGTAGTACACAGCACAAGTTTTCTTGGTGGAGGTGCCCTGCTTCAGGTGTTGAAGCACAAGATGCTCTGGATGCCTCAGAATTGCGTGCGATATGGAGTAGTTAGGTTTGTTACTCTCAATGCGATCCGGTAGTGCAAGTTTCTCATGTATGCATCTATATGGATAAGCCCTAATGCGAGCTATCAACTAAAGCCCCACGCGCCCGAAGTGAAACTTTGATTTTCTTGATGTCAAAATCTGAATCTATGTACATGTATCATGTATGGTTTTCATGAAGAAAAGGCAAAGTCAAGTTATGTAGCTTCTTAAGAGAAATGATACTTAAAAAAGTTACCTTTGTTCTAGGACACTAGGATTTTTTTTATTTCCAGAGTATACCTTTTCATTAAAATTTACAGACAGGTATAAACAAAGCTGAGTCAAGTTCGTACCTTCCTATGTCTCATATTGTAATGCTCAAAAAAAAATGTCTCATATTGTATTGCTCACCTGAAACTATAACAAGTATACCCTGTTCAGCAAAGACAGAGCAGCGCATCTGGTGTAGTGGTATCATAGTACCCTCCCACGGTACTGACCAGGGTTCGATTCCCTGGATGCGCATTTAATTTTTTTTTTCTTTTTCCTTATGTTCCTTGCGAAGGTTTTAACTAAAAATATAATGAATTATGGAGCACAACACATACACATAGTAATAGTTTCTCATGCATTATTTGTCGTGGAGGCTGTACAAGGCCACAGTGCCATCTCTACTCCTTGAAAGGGCCACACTGCATTTTTGTTAAGTTCCATTGGAGTTCAGGCTCAGTCACGGCACAAGATAGTTTCTCATGCATGCACCTTTGTCATGGAAAGTGGAGAAGCAGCGAGGATACTGTTGGATATATTATCATTTTCTTGATTATTTTAATCCTGACGAAAAACACGACAAAAAATACTTGCAAGATCAATGACACACTTTAAGCTATACATACTATTGCGTACTAGATTCCGTTTCAAAAAAACTATTGTGTACTAGACATAGAGCGTGTGAAACTAGGATATACAAGTAGTGCACATGCATGAACCAGTTGAAGGATGCACATATCATACCTTCCAGTCGGGAAGGTCAGGGCCGTGACGGCTGCAACAACCTTCTTCGTGGCACCACTGTTGTCACCCATGGCATAATCAAGGAAGTAGTCAAAGTCGTCGAAGAAGTTGCAGTTCACGCAGACGGAATTGAACAATCGTGCGAAGACGGTCGAAAAAAACCCTTATCGCTTTTCTCCTGGTGCAGGATCAGAAAGGGCATGGCTCTAGAGGCCTGATCTCCAACACGGTCATGCATGCAGTCGCTGGGATGGACCCACCAAGAGCAGCAACATCAAGAAGAATGACGGTGGTGTGCGTTGTGAGTGGACGGCGCTGCTGCGAGTGGCTCTCGCGGGAGGCTGTGACGCGAGGGGATGCGAAGCAATGAGATGGAGGAGGGGGAACCCGTTTGCTGCAAGCCAGCAACCAAATCAGACGGCTATGTGGGGAAGTATCGGACGGCTATGTGTGAAGCAATCCGACAATTTCCCATTTAAATCGGCCGGCTGCTGCCTAGCGCATGTCATACCATATTTCTTATATTTTTCCTAATGTTTTCTATTTTCTTTGAGTTTTCAGTTTTTTCACGTGGATTCTTTGTATTTTTAATTTAAAAACAAGGACCTTTACGGTTGCACATCCTTATATATCTCTATTATTAAAGGGGGATCGAAGTCGTGATGGTTCGACCTCCCCTCGTGGTTCGACCACCCCGTTCGATCCCCCCGCCTCGTACGACGCATCCCATCCCTCGATATGTTTCTGCAATCTCTACTATTAAAGGGGGATCGAACGTCGTGATGGTTCGACCTCCCCTCGTGGTTCGACCACCCCGTTCAATCCCCCCGCCTCGTACGACGCATCCCACCCCTCGATATGTTTCTGCAATCTCTACTATTAAAGGGGGATCGAACGTCGTGATGGTTCGACCTCCCCTCGTGGTTCGACCACCCCGTTCGACCCCCCGCCTCG